TGGGGCATCCACAGCTTCTCTGGGCAACCTGTTCCAGTGTCTCACCACCCTCACAGGAAAGAATTTTTTTCTTGTATCTAATCTGAATCTCCCCTCTTCCAATTTAAAACCATTACCCCTTGTCCTGTCACTACACTTCCTGACAAAGAGTCCCTCTCCAGCTCTCCTGTAGGGTCCCTTCAGATATTGGAAGGTTTCTATAAGGTCTCCCCAGAGCCTTCTCTTCTCCAGGCTGAAAAACCTCAATTCCCTCAGCCTGTTCTCACAGCAGAGGTGCTCCATCCCTCTGATCATCTCCATGGCCCTCTGCTGGACCCCTTCCAACAGGTCCATGTCCTTCCTGTGTTGAGGGCTCCAGAGCTGGACACAGTACTCCAGGTGGGGTCTCACAAGCCCAGAGTAGAGGGGCAGAATCACCTCCCATGACCTGCTGACCACACTGCTTTGGATGCAGCCCGGGATGCAGTTGGCATATTTAGTGGGTTTGTGCAAAACCACTGAGGAACTGTTCATATGAAAAATATGCACAAATACTCACTCACACCCAGGCGCCAGGTCCCCACAGGTGAGGTGGCGAGTCGGGCCACAGCAAGGGGAGATGCCTCCTGTCCCCTGGGGCTGGATGCCGCTGTGAAGGTGCAGGAGGAAGGGAAGTGGAACCCCTCGCGTGGCCATAGCCATTGGTGGGACCGGCAGGGTTGTTGGCTGGCACAGAGCTTGCCCCAAGAGCCGCCCATGGAGCTCAGCAGCTCTCGGAGACAACAGCTGGTGCACACCTGCGTGTACAGGGAAGCTGAGGGTTTGCACAGCTGGGTGCCACTGGCACCTGCCTTGCACAGAAAAAGGCTCACGCTTGGTGTCTCTGCATGGACCTTCCCACTTGGTCACCATGTGGGCAGCAAGAAGTGCTCGGCGTCACCAGCTGGACAAGCTGGGATCCCTTCCCTGTCAGCCCTGCTGTCAGGAAGGCCTTCAATGGTTTTTTGTTTTATGAAGGTCTAATTTTTTCCCTTTGCTGTCAGTGTGTCAATTTTTTTTCCACAACGTGGCTGATGACTATTTTTTTTAAGCAAAGTACAGCACCAGTGACATTCTGACAGTGTCAATACAGACAGAGTACACCCACCTGAGCTTTTCAACACGGGAAGTTAGGGCTGTTAAGGGTCAGATTGACAGCCTTAGCAAATTCAAGTCCTCTGTACAGCAGACGACGAGAAGTTATTAGATACAGACAGGTCATCCAGTCCATCTCCCACCCCACCTTTTAATTGTCTCTCTCACCCAAGCTATAAATATCTGACTCTTCTCATCTTGTTTCCTCATTATGTCAATTCTAGCAGTCCCTGATCATTTTTATTACTCCTTACTGAAATCCCTCCAATCTGCCAGTAAACTCTGTGGTAATGAGATCCCCGTGCTGAAGGCACTAGTGCAAATAGCGGGGCACCGGGCCCGCTGATGAGGAGCCACTTCCTGGGCAATTTGGAGATGTCATCGCCCCCTCACCTGCAGCTCAAAAGTCTTCTCATCTGTTGTTGTTGCTGCTCTCAGACACCATCGCCTCTTGCTTTGCTCACTCTTCCCCTTCTGAGGGCTTCTGCTGTCTGGGTCTCCCCCCATCCCATCAAGCATGTGTTTTTCAGATGCTGCAATCACCCCAGGTTCATGCTCCGTCCCAGATTGGATCCTGCAATCTTTTTTTTTTTTTTTTGGTATTTCTACTTCACATTATTTCTTCTTCCTCAACTCTTCTAAATTTAGCAGGGCCTCCTGGCTTCACTCACAGACTTTCTGCTTCCAAGGAACAGAGCAGGGAGAGCAGGTACCCAGCCTGGCACCTCCAAACCAGGCTCCTCAAAGTGTCGAAAGGCAAATCCTGTGCAGATGAGGCCACGCTGTCATCGTTCACAGCAATGGCACCTGCTCTAGTGTAAACCCTTCAAGATGCTTAAATGGTGAAGAAAATTTAAAAGCAAGCACTCCCTCCCCTCACCCCAAATCACCCAGGAGCTGGAAAACACATTAGGACACAGGCTGTAAAGGACCCCATGTCGTCAAAGAGAAGATTGAACCAGGACTTTAGCATTGTATGGAGGAGATCCTCTTTCTGACCACAGGGGAACTTTGCCATCTTGCTTCCGAGGGTGCAACTAAGTCCAGCAGCTGGAAAACAAAGTTAGACAAACACAACCTCAAAATAAGGCAGTTTCGTAGCAGCAAGAATAATTAAACACTGGGAGATTTGACAATGTGCTTTCAAAATTTTAATACAACTTCCTCACAGCCAACAGCAACTTGAGAAAGAACCAGATTTTGTGTCTGTGAATTCATCTTGCCATTTCCTTGCTGATCAGGCCAGGCCCAGCAGAGGAGTTCCCTCATGGTCCTTAATGCTCACAACAATTTGTGTTTTGGACAATGGCTTTAATCAAATCCACACTTCAAGGTTTTAAGGTAGCTGCCCGTAAGCAACCAGGAAAGATAATTTTTTTCCGATTTTTCACTTTCCTCCTGTCTGCAGACAGGGGACGAGAAAGAATGAGCTGACACTCCAAGACTGGTTATTGAATGCTATGAGTGAACAAAGTGGTCTTTTCACACACACAGAATGACTCCTGAATTAAGGAAACTAGGAATTTATGGCTCTCATTGCAGCTTGTGGGTCGGTTTGTTTGCTGGGACCCTCTGGGCTCCTTTGTCCTCACATATGTCACGGGAGTCACCTGTCGGTGACATCTGACTTTCTCCAGTTTAGTTTCCCAACGCCTGAAATCACCCCTTCAAGCTGCAGCAGGAGGCAAGTGGCCAGAACCAAACCCTGTTCCCCCATGTCCCATCCTCTTGCTGCAGTTGGGACTCAGTAACATCCCCTGTGGACAACCATGGGAGTTGTCAAGCACCGACCCTGACCAGACAAAGTTGGGTTTCTTGGTGTTTTTCAGATGACTTCTGCTTCCCAACACCCTTCCCAAGGATCATGGTGAAAGCTCTGCCACACAACCATGCCCAAGATGCTCAAGGTAGCCTGTTCTCTCACAGCTACATGGAGCCACCACACTGTAAAACATTACTGTCACTGGGAGCAGACAAGCCTTCAAGAGACACAGGGAGCAGGTACAATTCGGGAATGGCATTTTCCAGAGGAGAGCCACCCAGTCAGAGCAGACTTCTCTGCTTCTGCCAGTTTAAATCACCTCATTCAATATTCTGTGTTGTCATATGTAGCATGCAGTTATGTAAATTTATAAATCATACACTAATTAGCACACAATTTCATAAATTTAGTAGCAGTGAAAAAGGAGGTTTCTAACTAACCAGGCTGCGCTCTCTCCTCCTCAGATGGCACAAATTCAAACGCTGCCTGGAGGTCGTATTTCAGAAAATCTCTGCAGCAGCTTCAGAGTTTAACCCCGGGCTCATGTGCGCTTCAAGGGATATCTTTTAGGTATCTCAGGCTCGATCTCTCTCAAGCACAGCTAAGCCCTTTCCTCTCCTTCCTTAACACCAAACCTCCACAGCTCATTGGATCACTGCAAATTTTGTTTTGCTTCTTTCTCTCTTATTCAGATTCTTGCTATATCCAGTCTCACGTTCTTCTTCTCATCTAACTCTGCACCACTCTTCCTCGCTGGCCAGTAAATCCAGTCCATGTCTGGGTTATACCTGGCTTCTACCCTGTTACCTCGTGCTCTGGCCTCCCTGTCTAGCTCTAGCTCTAAAGAGGAGCAGCTAAAGTTAGGTCATGTCCTTCTTTCCTTGATTTACCACATAACCTTTGGACAGTAGCTCCCCAAATGCAGGAACACGATTTGGAAAAGGAGTGGGGAGTCAGAAGCCTCTTCTGGGAACCAGGGCTTGAAGACATTTCTCCCTCCAGGATATAACTACAAAATTTGCCTTCATCAACTAACTCACTATATTTTAACAACTTGTCTCTACCTTCTGGCCCAGATCCACTCAACCTACACCTCCTGTCATCTTTTGGTACAGTTCTGCCTTGCATCCTTGTCCTTTCTTGCCTTTACCTCCATCCTTTCTTCCTTGTTCTTTAATTCCAGCTTTTTGTCCCAAAGCATGGTGGCCCCTTCTCTTTTGTATTACAGAATCACAGAATGCTATGGGGTTGGAAAGGACCTGTGGACATCATCTAGTCCAAACCCCCAGCCAACGTAGGTCCACCCAGAGCAGGTTGCACTGGAACATGCCCAGGCGGGTTTTGAATGTCTCCAGAGAAGGAGACTCCACCACCTCCCTGGAAAGCCTGTTCCAGTGCTCTGCCACCCTCAAAGTGAAGAAGTTCCTCCTCCTCTTCAGATGGAACTTCTAACATTCTAGTTTGTGCCTCTTACCTCTTGTCCTGTCACTGGGCACCACTGAAAAAACACTGGTCCCATCCCCTTGACACCCACCCTTTAAGTATTTATAGGTGTCGATCAGATCCCCCCTCAGTCTTCTCTTCTCCAGACTAAAAAGACCCAAGTCCCTCAGCTTCTCCTCCTAAGAGAGGTGCTCCAGTCCCTTGATCATCTTTGTAGCCCTCTGCTGTACCCTCTCCAGCAGATCCCTGTCCTTCTGGAACTGGGGAGCCCAGAACTGGACACAGTGCTCCAGATGGGGCCTCACCAGGGCAGAGTAGAGGGGCACGATGGCCTCCCTCAACCTGCTTGCCACGCTCTTCTTGATGCACCCCAGGATGCCATTGGTCTTCCTGGCCACAAGGGCACATTGCTGGCTCACGGCCAAGAAGACATTCTGTCACCTCTCTGCCATTTCATTCTCCAAAAGTCGTCTTGGTCATTCCCACAAACCCCTGGAGAGGAAACGAAGGCTTGAGTTCCTCGTCTCTCTTAGCAAACCGGGGATTCACAATATAGATGACATGATCATGTGGAAAGTGGAACACATTGTCAGTGAAAGAACTGACATCTGAGCTGGACAAAGCAAACCAGGAGATAAGTCAAACAAACAAGAAGTCTGGAAGATCAAACGAAACCCCTAGATAATTTATTAGATTAAGACTTCACATACATATATAAATATACGCTCAAGATGGGATTCAACAGTGAGACCGGAGAGGCCAGAAGTGGAAAGGGTGTGGTTGCCACAGCTACAAGGTGCAAAGGCACAATGGCTACACAAACACTCGGCAAACGCGCGTGTACGAGCCGCTCGGGAAGAGCACAAAGTGAAGGCATGGGTGGGAGCCCCTGCAGAAGTCATGTCCCCCCACAGAGCCTTGCGTAGAACACGGCCTGACGTGTAGCTGAAGCAGATCAACTGGGAACATTCTGGACAAACAATCTATGGCTGGACTAAATCCCCATCGGCAGCTTCCTAATATAGGAGCTTAAACTTAAAAGGACACTGTCAAGTGATTGCTTTTGCTGGTTTAATTTTTGCATTTCCTCCACTGTTTTAGCAGATGGAAAACAATTCCCCTCCCAGTCCCAGCTACTGATTTTGTCCTTTCGTATTTGACAATCATTGATTTTTTTTTTTCTAAGGCTATAAATGTTTTAATAACTTCAACTTTGTAGTGCCTCATGGCAAAATATCTTTGCTTGCGCTGACTGCTAAACACTGTTCCTAATGTACTGCTGATAACTAGAGCAAGAGCCAGCACTACAAAAAATGATTTTTCAAGGGGCCTACCAAATTAATAGCTTTCGTTTCTTCACCCACATCTCATAGACTGCTAAAACGTTGGTCTTCACCCACCAGACATTTCAACCACCTTAACTCTACAATTCTTGGCTTCATAAAGGTATGCCTCCTGTGTAGCACCTTGAGCGTAGAGCCCACAACCCTGACAATGTCCTTTTAAAAACAGCTACTTCCAAAACATAGATCCAAGTCAAAAGTCACCATCAGAATTAGAATTGTTAATGAACAAAATGGACCATAAGGAATCCTAAAGCAGCTAAATATTGGCACCCACAAGAACCAAAGAACAGAATGCTCCCACGCAGTGTTCTTGACTGGGTACACAAAGGCACCTTTCAAGAGATATACATGTAATTTTTGCTGTTTCAAAAGGTCAGTTAGCACTTATTAGAAAAGGCAATTAAAGTTTCAGTCAACCTGGAAAAGAGAAGCAATTGGACTGAAATCAGAGAACTGTGTCTTTATAAATGCCAAACGTCAACAAAAAAAAAAATCCCCAACAAAACTAAAAAAACACCGAAACCCAACCCCAAACCCTAAGATCTATGTGATAGTCTTTTCTTCATGGTTTTTCAGTTTTCCTGCTGCTCCTTATACATTTTTCTCTTCTTTCCCCTCCCTTTCCCTGCCCTCTTAAAGAAGCAGAATATTCAGCCAGCAGAATGAGAGAACCTATTTCCCCACCTGTCACGCTTGGGTGAGGGCACAGAAGGCATCTTTGGGGCTTTAAGCAGAAACCTGTGCCTTCACAGGCTCAAGGAGCAGAACAGGAGGGACATTCAACAGCAGGTGGACATACTGGAAAGAACCTATAATACTTCACTGACAGCAGGACAGACCATGCAGGGCCTTTCCACAGTAGTCATTTTCTGCTCCAGTAATGCTGCTCCACTCCTTCAAACTCCTCCAAGCAGCTTTTAAAATTCAGCTGGGATGCAGGAGAAGGACATCACCTAATTTGTGATGGAGGCCGGGTCTGAACGGAACAGCCCAGGGTAACCTGAGGTTCGTCCTCCCCTCCTTTCTCCTTTCGTTTCATCGCTGTAGGAGGACGGTGCTGCCAGGGGCACGTGCTAGAGGTCCTGCACCGATGCTCTTCACCAGAGAGGAACCTTGCCAGCTCCTCGCAGAGCACCAAAGAGGAGACAGCAGGTGAAGGGCAGGCAGCAGCCATACCCCAAGGATCAGTACAGCATCTCTCTGCCGTGAAGATAAGCAGGGCTGCCTGAAGAGACTGTCAGAAAAAGCTGTACTGGCCCACGAAACGGTGTTTGGGAGCAAATGGCCTAGAACTTGCCCGTACTGGCTCCATTCTACCTTTCCCTCGCTGCAATTTTACTGTGCAAAATGAGTATTTTAGCCTCATATTTCTAGGAACACATGCCGGTGGCTACTGTTACAATAAAATATGAACACTGCATTTTGGAGAAAATGACCATTAATCCTGTAATCTGCAGTCATTTTTACCAATTCGGCACATTTCTTTAAATAACCAAGTACACGCAGTAGATGGAAGTGCATTTAAATAAACTGAAATACATACAGCATGAATAATTAAAGTCGGCAGGGAAACGTGCATTGCAAGCCGCTAGTGGAAATAATTACTGATTTGTCTTATTTACAATGGAGCCGGGATACAGGATCAAAATAGTGCAAGTTAGTGAAAATGTCTTAAGACTGTTCTTATACTACCACTACTATATATTTCATCTTGAAAAGTACATCACATAGGCTTTGGACCACTACAAAGTCTGACTGTGTTCTGCTGCTTCAGGGTTAGGTTACTTAGCACATAAACTCTGTCAAATAGCACTGATTTAAAGAGGAGTATATTTCAAACGGATGCCTAGTACATCAACCTGCAACATTGTCTATTAATGTTATTAGACACTGTATAGCTGAGCTTACGATATATCCCCTAAAAGCCCAGCGTGTTGAATATGAGAATATTGAAGGGAAAATGTAGATCATAAAATCACTGAAAGAAGTACTAAAGTGCTTGTACCTTTATAATATGCCAGGTTTTAAGCAGACTTGTTTAATTAGAAAATAATCTACTTTGAACGTGGTGGTTCTTGACTGTTAGGCAGTTCTTGCAAACTGCTTTAGAGCTAAAAATCGATAATGAAATATACTTCCGATATGAGGCTGGCAAAACTGTGACTTCAATCTATTAGAAAATGTTGTAGATTAAAAAAAAATATTCTATTTTAGAACGATTACTTGGCACATGAAAGGTTTAGAAAAAAAAAGGTTAACGCTTTCTGATTAGTCTATTCCAACAATGTTCTTGCACCATGATTACTAAAACCAGAATGAAACTGGATGCTAATTATCTGCGTTTTAGAAGAGGGGAGACAAGCAGTTGTCACTCAAATAATTTAAAAAAGGTACTTTAACACAAACAAATCAGCAATAAAAAGGTCCTAAAAATTCTAGAGAAGGGCTGTAGACCAACAAGGCACGTCAGATGAAGAAAATCTCCTCGAGGAGCCGGCTCTCCTCCAGCTCTTCTGCTCTGCTTATGGAGCTGCAAGGGGTCTGGTACCAAGACAACGGCCTGTGGCTTGCATGACGAGGCGTGTGCACTTTGTTCCTGTCGTAAGATTCTCTGCAGAGGTGTCCAGAGACAGATATGGGACTCATTGCTTCAACCAGGTCAAGGAGACTGGCTTTGTACCTACAGAAACACAGCAAGAAAATGGAGCTCCATTAAGTACCACAGCACCACGCAGGACTTGAAACCTGTCCTCCTGCCTTCATAGTTCAGACTAGGCTTGGATTTGTCTGGTGGGGACCACCAGCACAGAACAAATTTTGGTCACTGTGTTCCTATGAGGAATACCAACACAGAAAGAGGAGAGCAAAGCATGGGTGCTCGGGTTATTTTAAGCTGTTTCATCAGCTTTTCCATTTGAGGTGTGCAAAGTCTTAGTCGCACTCCGGAGACTGACGACAGGCTTCAGAGATATGACAGCCAAATACACCAAACAAGTACGAGGCAGTCCCACACAGGTAATGGTAAAGTGACTTATACACATGCTGCACTTTTTCCAATAGACCTCTGCACTTGATTTAGTTTCCCAGGGATTTGAAAACAGCAGGAGACTTTATTATTATTGCCACAAACTACACGTGCTTCCTGTAAATCTCTATGCACTATATGGTCTGTCTGGTGGAAGCACTGAAGGAATATAATCTAAGCAAGGCAATACAAAAATCAACACTTCAGGCACCGAGAGAAAAGGCAAAGGTGCTAAACATTACTCAGGCTGTCCTTTAAGTGTGAGTACAGATGTGGGGGAAGGTGGCGAGCCAACGTTAGCTGGTAACGCACCCTGAATAACGGCAGTTACTTCAGACAGAGACTTCCTATTAATATTCACACAAGACAAGACCTCATCTAAATACCAGCACAGGATTGATCATTACAATATATTTTCTCCTGTCCAATTTTAAATGTCTTAAACAATACCGCTTCCACTGCTTCCCCAGGGAGGCTGTTCTCCAGTCTACGAGATATCGCTCAAGAGTTTTACCCAAAAGTCTCCTTTGTTCCGTCCTGTTGTTAGCACCAACCTGCCCGATTTTCCCAATGCTGAAATAATTCACACATTCAATGGCTTACATGCAAAGAATGTTATTCACAGCACCCAACCTAAGGTACCAGCATAGCTGGTTGTTTTCAACGTGGTCCCTTCTCTTATGAACAGAAAGAGTTCATCCATAGCATAAGGACACATCTCAAGCCGTCCTGCACTGAGAAAAACCTCTGATTTTCCTTTCAGGACAGTGGGAGCCTAGGAAGACTGAGAAATTAAGTCAGACTGCTCGGGTAGGTTCCTGAACTCAGATGGGATGAAAAATTCTTAAGTTCAAATATTGACAAGGGTTTGAGTTCATCCATAGCATAAGGACACATCTCAAGCCGTCCTGCACTGAGAAAAACCTCTGATTTTCCTTTCAGGACAGTGGGAGCCTAGGAAGACTGAGAAATTAAGTCAGACTGCTCGGGTAGGTTCCTGAACTCAGATGGGATGAAAAATTCTTAAGTTCATTGATGTGAAAGATTAGCAGTGGCCAATGTATCCCCCAGAGGCCAACTACAACTTGTGTTGTCCAACAGCATCATGCAGCAGCGGTAGGTAGAGACTTCCTTCCCTAAACATCCGATGCCATGCAAAATATCCTTCATTATCTCTACCGGTAAGCGTTACACCCCAAACCATCATCAGAAAACTGATCATGATGAGGTAACTTATGTCTGAGACACAGAAATACTTCCTCAGGTCAGAGGAGTTAGCTGTGGTACTGCTGGGCTAACACTGATGTTAATGGCAACCGCTGCAGTTATGCTACGATTGCTTGGAAAAGCCAGTTCTCATCTCCTTCAATTTGTATTGTTTCTTCCAATTTGATGGTCGCCATTGCTTCTGACACAGTCCAACTTGACATTATGGCGCACAGGGCTTTCTCTTCTATTTGACTATCTATAGATTGTATTATTTTCCTTCAGATGTACTAGCTCACATTTCACCCAACCAGAAACCCATTTTTCAAATCTCTTTTTCACATTTTAAGCTTGCCTACATGTATTTCTATTATCTGTCTGTTTAAATCACACCCAATAGCCAAAAATGAGCGACTCGAAACAAAAAAATATAGCTGTAGTTTTGCTTCAATTGGACTGTGTAAGTGGCTATCCCTAGGCAAATGTGATGCCTTACAGTTACCCTAACCAAGAATTTTGGGAGTGTATGAGGGTTTTGGGTAGCCAAGCCAGGCCTTTTTGAAAGGGTCTGTTGTTTGTATTAGCATTCAGAAAGCACCCTCTAAAAACTGAGGCTCCTTAAAGATATCTCCAACGTAAACGGAATAAAGCTGCACTGATAGAGCTGGCACATAGCTACATTAGACTTCTCACGTAGAGAAAGTTTTGGACTAGACTCTATATAGATATACACAGATGCTTTGAACCCCAGAGAAACCCAGTTAACACATACACTGGTTTCATTAGCCACACCTAAAACTTCTTTTTAGATTAATCTAGTCTAGCATACAAATGCTTATCTCCTCTGACTGTAGTGCTATCATAAAATTTCAATTTCTCCAGCAGCCACATTCAATCACAGATTAGGCAGGGGGAAACCAAACCAGTCAGTGCATTTATAGCAAACGTGCAGGCCCTAGATTTCAGCGGTACCTTCGAGTTCATTTCTTCTGCAAGTTTATCTAAGTTTTACAGCATTTCTGCTATCAGGAAGCCTAAATGATTTGGCAGATTACAAGCGCAGCAAATAGCAAAGATTATGTAAAAGACCAGGTGTTGTAAATCAGTCTATTTGACACCACAGTTATATATGCAATAAAGTGAATGAACTCTGCTAACAGAGCGCTATCTGATAAAGAGAATGCTCCTCGCAGGTATTTAGTGTTTAATCCCATGATAATGGTTTGCCCTGGTTTGTCTAAGCAACATCAGACAGCATCTGGCTGGAGGCAAAAGAGTAGACCCAGAATGGTTTGAAGCTCGCAAAGACAATTTTCCCAACCTGTATTTGCAGCCGGATATTTAAAGAGACACAGTCATAATGCTCAAATCCTGACATGCAACTTTCTCTAAAACCAGGATATGTATTCCTTGCACGGTCTGAATAAATGCATAAGTAAAAACAGGCTTCATTATTATTATTATTAATACGACAGTTAATGGCTTCAGTGAAGTCAAAGCTGCAGGATCAGGCACCCGAGAGTCAGAACATTTCAAACAGGAAAACTGATCTGGGAAACTTGGCTTGTGAATACTCAATGCTCTTTTAATGCAAATTAGCAGCCAAGGGTACCCTCGTACTGTTCATGCTTCCCAAGGAGAAAAAACTCCCAAATGTTCTGTGAAATTACCAGCGCTGTACATTGAGCCACATACAGAAACTCCTCACGAATAGATAGATGTTCAACCAAGCAACCACATGTCCCATCAATGCTAGCTGCTAACACAGATTTTCTTTGATGGGTTTTGCCCTCTCAACAGAAGGAAAACGAGGTGGGCAACTGTCCCTTTGAGCATGGTGATAATTCAGTCTGTCTTCACCTTTTTGGTACATTTGCCAGTGTGCTGGAAAGTCAATGAGCACCTCCGCAACAGACTGGAAAACAATCTCTTTTCTAAGCCTGGTTTTGACACTTCCCCCATGTATATTTTTTCATCTAACTTTCATGAGCTTGAATCTCTGCATGTTTCATCACAGGAGAAGAAAATTCATGAAGTCTACAAGTTTGCATTAGAAGTCTAACTATTTAGACAGCTAAAGTTTGGTGGAAGTAATCTGATCATAAAATCTCCAAAAACTCCATCAGGAGAAGGAACAAAAAGAATGAGCGTGCAAAGCATGAAGAAGGCAGGGCCACGTGCAAGAGGGGAGAGATGGGAGCGAGAAGTAAGCTTTGAAGCTCTTCTTTCAATGAAGAAATTTGACCTTTGCTTGTAATGTAGAAGTTAAAACTCTAAACATGGCTCAGAGGGCAGCATGGAAATTGCCCAAACTGTCTGAGAGGGAGGTACCACCAGGATCAAGTTTGCACAGCTGGGTCAGTGCAGAACTGTGACCTGGGTGGCTAAATCCCTCCTGGTCAGGCATTGCACAGTGCTGGGACAGTATTCCCTTCTTCTCCTCTGTACAATTAACACAGGTGGCTGGAAATTTGGTTCCTCAGCCACTAAAGCACTTTTCATAAATTATATTAGAAACTTTCAGCTTTCCCTCCTAATTAGGTAAGTATCTAGTAGAGTTTATAAACTTAATGTAAAAGAGTTTTGTAGTCCATCAGTAAGGTAACAGGGAACATCATAAGCACTACAATTCAGAACAGCTCATTAAATGTCTACATTTTAAAGAGGAAAACAGCACAAAAATAAACACAGGTTGGCACCGAGCCCAATCCTTCCTTCCACGGTATTTCTGTTTCACTGCCTGTGCAGCAGGAATACAACTCTCTGAACATCTACAGGTGCCTCTTTGCACTGTGTCTCCAAATTGGAGGGGAAGGAAGGCTCTCACATTTTTATGACAAACACGCAAATCTGGCTGTTGCTCTGGGAACCATAAGACCACTTATTCCCAGGATGGTTGCTGAGAAATCACCTGAAACCACTTGGTATTCTGTCTAATAAAACCTGCTGGGCAATCAGGGTTCAGACAGTCCCACAATGTACAGTGCCTAAAAAATGGTCAGATTATGCAAAAGCGATACAGAGAACTCATTACTGCGCGGGATATTACAGAAAATGGTCCTCTTGAAGGTAAGCACAGAGCATCCTTGCATCAATTGGCTGAGCAGTGATGTTTGTTTATTTATTTATTTATTTAGACATTTGGGATATGTCATTGAATTTTTAATGTTTGTCTGTTTCCCATTGCTGGTAAAATGTATTTCTTACACGCTGTTCAATTTTTAAACGACACTATTGTATTTTCATATTACACAGTCCCCTTTAACTAATAATATCATTTGTTCCTTCCTGGAAAAATAGCACAACCCCAAACAAGTTTGATATTTGGAGGAGCAGGAATTTCCCCATGAGGCAAAATAACTGAACTTATTAGAGTCATAAATACTCTGGCAGTGAGATATATGTATATTTCTTTAAACAAGCAGCGTCAGACATTATTTGATCACGAT